CAGTAAGAGTAAAGAATAAAAACTAGAAGCTGTTCCCCGCAGTACTTCTCTTTTACCACTAGAGGCGCTCAGTCTTCTGGGTTGAATGACAGCCAGCATCATCCAACCTTCTTCCTGTGAGTCCAGGTTGTCTAGACCCACCTCCTGTGGCAGAATCAGCCTGGGCTCAGAATGTTATTGCATTGCACTGTGATTACAGTTATTACTGGGGCACCATTGAGCAGCTGTAAGGATGGAAGGAACCATGAGGTAATTGAACCAGTCGGAAGACCCTCAGAATAAAAGGTGTACATATGTATCAGCCATAATATTATGACCACCTGCCTAATATTGAGTAGGTCCCCCTTTCCCCCGATCGGTCCAGTCATGGACTCCACTAGATCTCTGAAGGTGTGCTGTGGTATCTGGATGATCCCCCTAATATTGAGTAGGTACCCCTTTCCCCGACCGGTCCAGTCATGGACTCCACTAGACCTCTGAAGGTATGCTGTGGTATCTGGATGATCCCCCTAATATTGAGCAGGTCCCTCTTTTCTTGATCGGTCCAGTCATGAACTCCACTAGACCACTGAAGGTATGCTGTGGTATCTAGATGACCCCCCCTAATATTGAGTAGGTCCCTCTTTTCCTGACCGGTCCAGTCATGGACTCCACTAGAACTCTGAAGGTATGTTGTGGTATTTGGATGATCCCCCTAATATTGAGTAGGTCCCCCTTTTCCTGATCGGTCCAGTCATGAACTCCACTAGACCTCTGAAGGTATGCTGTGGTATCTGGATGACGCCCCCTAATATTGAGTAGGTCCCCCTTATTCTGACCGGTTCAGTCATGGACTCCACTAGACCTCTGAAGTTATGCTGTGGTATCTGGATGACCGCCCCCTAATAGCATCAGAACTGGACCACAGAGCAATGGAAGAAGGTGGCCTGGTCTGATTGATCACATTTTCTTTTACATCATGTGGATGGCTGGGTGCATGTGTGTCACTTACCTTTTCCTGACCCGTC